TTAATCAAATGTTTTCCATTGACCGTTCTATGCTTTTGGAAATCCCGTTTCATTCGTAATTGATTTAACAGACATGCATGTACTTGTGCCTACCCATAGGAGTTTTCTACATGAAAGAATCAAGCATTAAAAACCTCGACAAAGCTGAAGAACATCTCCAAAACAGCATTGATTGCTATGAAAAGATGTTTGATGACTTGAAAGAAAAAGACCAATTAAAGATATCTTTTGTTGATACCTATGTAAATAGCTACAAGCTGCTTACCAGGCTTCAACTCGAGACTAAACAGATATAAAGCCCTGCTGGTATGTGAGAGAGGACGAGGCCGTGCATTAAGAGATCTCTTAAGCTTGAAATACAACACGACCGGAAAAATCCCTTCAAATAAAAAAGCGTTGGAGCTAGATGATGTCAAGAAAGTTCCGTCCAGTGTTAATTCCTGCATTATTTTCTATGATCTTCACCATATCGAATTGACCACCCGATTCTGGGTTATATCTTCTCGATCTTCGATCTTCGTTTATGATGAAATAGCAGAACTTGAAGCTTTGGAAAAAATCATATCCAATCTCTCTCAAGATGAGGAAACGAACATTGAAAATTTGTATTTGAAACATCTTGTTGAAGACAGCTTTCTCCATATGAATGTTAGAGAAAAAATGAAATGTGAGGACCGATCGTTGGAGTCACTACAGAGTGAAGATGACCTTTACTCTGCGTCCTATTAAGCTACCGCTTCAAAACCCATTGAGACTTCATCCAATGTTTGCCGAGAATTTCTAAGATGTGTCTACATGGAAGAAGACGATGACAAGCCATTGGAAATGGTGTTTTATCGATTTGTTACCCATTATTCCGGATGGCCCTTTGTTTACGATGCCATTCGCTGCTCTACGGGATCCAGAGACGGGCAACTTTCTATCTGAAACCAAACGCCTTCGCTTGGCTCCTTCTCTGACGACTTTGAAAATTCTACAAGAATCTTCAGGTGATCGTCACTACAAGGTAAGACATTTAATGCCACAACATGTCTTGTCCAAAACATTTTAGTAAATACTAATACTCCTGGAGAAAAATCTTTCTTTAGCACGATTATTGCAAATCGTGGAATAGTACTTTTGTTGCTCTAATATCTTCTATGTTCACTATAAAGTGCTAATTCATAAATTGAGACGCTTTTGTTTGTGGATAAGTTTGACTTATATAAGTTTTGACGCTATATTTACTCTCGATCCACGACGAAATTTCCCTAACGAACGTTATTCCGAAAAGTTCCCGAAGCTACAATCCTAGACAAAATTGAATGGGACAGAACGCTATTACTGCGCTCTAGCAGATGCACTCTCTTATAGGCTGTTTTAATGCTTACTCAAAGTCTCCCCCCTACCCCCACAGTCAATGTTGGCTAACAATGTTGATGGCGGGAATGTTTCGGTATGGAAGGAGGGTTTGTTTCGAGCCCAACATTGGAAATGGGGGGCCACGGGGGGAAATTGTAGCTGTCAGATGCGAGAGAGTCCAGTAAAATTCCGCTTTAATTATGAATATTCATTGCATTTTACCCTCACGAAATCTGACTTGATTTTCAATTATATTTCCAAAGTCAGCTTCCTTCCATGTCATAAACGATATATTGATGACTGATCAGCAAACACTTGCCTTGTGGTTTGTAAAAAATTCAAACATTCTATAATCGCAGTGGACCAAACTGGTCAAGACTAACCCTTTAGCAAAAGTCCTGGTGTAGGCCTTTGAATAGTCAAAAATCGCCTTAAAGATCTAATAACGTATATAATAGTCCACTTCGCGGATAACACAGCTATTAGAAATTGAGCAAATATCGAAAAACTATTACCACCACTGGAAAGAACAGTATAAAATTAGTATGTTAACGTTTACGAGGTTTGAGCATGATTTGATGGAAATTCAAGGAGTTACAGCGTTTAAAAGTCGGCAAAATTTACAAAGAAATGTATGGGCTGCCGGCATGAGATCGAGGTTGACCTTGACTTGTTACAACCTCGCCAAACATTTCTATGCAAAATTTAGTGTTTTTGAAGTGCCATATCTCTTTGAATTTAAATCAGATTATTTTCAAACTTGGCAAATTTGCTGATTTTATGAAGCTCTTTCCAGTGATGTCAATGATTTACCATAACAACGTAATGTAAACTTTCGAATTATCCGCGAAATGGTGTATTGCCTCGTCTAGATAAAATTTTACACCATTATCTTATTTTTCTTTTAACCATGGCATTAATTACATCTCACCCTTTAGTCGGGTGCACTGATCATTGGGAGATCCTGCCGTCGGTGAAGTCATGTATAGAGGGATAAAGAGAGATATTTACCCTTTGTCTGGTGCAAGAGATGAAGCCATAGAGATCGGAAAACTACTCGGAGTAGAACCACTGATAGCAGTTTTAAGCAAGCTACAACAAGGTGTGTGTGTTATTCACTTTGCTGCTCATGGCAGTGCGAGAAATGGAGAGATTTTCCTGGCCCCTTCTAAACCTTCACTATCGAGCACAACTACCCGAGAAGAAAAGGACTACATCTTGACAATGAAGGAAGCACAAGAAAGTGGAATTCGTGCTGAACTTGTTGTTCTGAGCTGTTGCCATAGTGGTCGAGAGGCGAGATCAAAGCAGAAGGTGTAGTTGGAATGGCTTGAGCTTTTCTTGCTGCAGGAGCCCGTGCCGTTATAGCGTCCTTGTGGGCCATTGATGACCAAGCAACTAAGTTATTTATGGTCAAATTCTATTCACATCTAAAGAAAGGAGAAAGTGCCAGTAGAGTCTACAACAAGCCATGAAGGATATGAGAGAAACAGAGGAATACAAGGAGCCAATGTATTGGTCTGCCTTCTTTTTAATTGGTGATGACATCGCTATCAAAGTGTAATAACATGCATATTAGTTGCTAGCAAGGTGTATGGCACCGAGTGCTACTGCCAAACTGATTTTACAGTAATTTAGAGGGGA